TGATGGGGTTGATGGGGGGGGTGATGGGGTTGATGCGGATGATGGGGGTGATAGGGGTGAAATGGGTACAAGAAGGGGAGTGAAGACAGGCGGGAGAGAGGGCGGATGAGAAATTAGGGGGTGGGGAGGATAGGGGAGAGAAAAAGGGCAGAATTGGGCGAGAGAGCGTGGGTGGGGAGAGGGAACAGGACAAAAGCTGGGGACAGATAGCGAATTCGGGAGAGGGAGACGAGGCTGGAATATTTTGGGCTCCATAAATCGAACTACAGCACGCTGACACCAGCAGACAGACATAAAGTGCAAGCCAGGGTGCAATTCCCATAACAATATCAGCCCTGTCAACACTGTCAGCCCTGCCAGCCTGCTCTGTCATGTCACAACAGCGCATGCGTTCCAAGCCCAGCGTTTTTCCCCCCTCCCAGCCATCCCCCTCCTCCCGCTCTGCCCATCATCCCTGTGCCTGAGCTCACCGCGCGCGGCTGAACTTCTGCAGGGCGGCGTCGAAGTCCGTTTCGCGCTCCATGAGTACCGTGCCCCACATGTAGGACGCGTACGCCTGTGATGCTCATGCACACGCACGCACGCACGCACACACACACACATGCACACATACATGCACGCACACACGTACACGCACATACACACACACATGCACGCATGCACGCACACGCACATGCACACGCACATGCACACACACACACACACACACACACACACACACACACACACACACACACACATGCACATGCACGCACACGAACGCATGCACGCACACACACGTGCACCATGCACGCACACACACGTGCACCATGCACGCACACGCACCATGCACGCACACACGCACGCACGCACGCACATACGCAACACACACGTACACACACACACCTCTCCCCCCCCCCCCCCCTCCCCCCCCCACACACACACCGGGCATGGGAGAACAAGGAAGCAAAAAGAGGTTGACTCACGAGCAACGCAGCTTCACGATTGCGAAGCCAGCCACCATCAAGGAGCACGTTCTATCCAACCCCCACGCACCCGCACATTCGGACAACCCCCCTTCCCCCCCACACCTGCGCGCCCTCCCCTCCTCTTCACCCCCCACCCGCGCACCCTCCCCTCCTCTCTTTCCCCTGCTCCCCGCCCCACCTCCGCCTCCAGCGCGGTCTTAGAGTCGGCCCTAGCGGCGCACAGCCGCGAGAACCCGTCCGCCCATCTGGCCGCGCGCGCCAGGCGGCGCAGCAGGTGCGCGCGCTTGCGCGCAAAGGCGGCCTGCGCGGCGGCGGCGGAGCCCGCCTCGCTGATGGCCTGCTTCAGCTCCATCGCGTACGCCCACGCGCGCTCCGCTGAGAATAGCGGGATGTGCAGATGCCTGATGGGGGGTGGGGGTGGGGGAGGGGGAAGGAAGGATGGAGGGATGGGGGGGGTGGGGAGTAAGGGACCGGGGGAGAAATGGGGAGGGAAGTTGGCGTTAGTTTGAATTTGCAGACGGAAGTCAAGCGAGGTATGCTGGTACGCAACGGAACAACAGGGAGGGAAGTCCCCTTTCTCAAAAGTCAGCGCGGCGAGGAGGGGGTGCTGGGGAGGGGGAGTGGGTAAAGGGGAAGGGGTTCCTGACGTCGTTACACACACATTCCGAACTGCGCTAACCTGAAATCAGCACTACTGGCGGAGAACATACAGACACATTCCGCGCACCTGACATCAGTGACGGTGTTGGGTTCGAGCGACTTGCGCTGGTACTTGCCCTTGCCGTGCAGGAAGCGCAGCGACCGGAACAGCCGGCGCAGACGAGCTGAGCAGTAACGGCTGCAATGGACGGCAATAATGGTGTGTGACATTTGTGGGTAGGAAACACCGATGCGAGGGCAATAGTGATGTGCGGAAACAAGACGCACCAGAGGTGAAAAACAGTAAGGAGCGAAGACACAGATGCAAAAGCCGTAACGATTTTCAAACGATAATACTTGGCGGCAACAACCAGGAAACCACGAGAATCAATATCAGGTAGGCAGCAATGACAGCGTCATCAAATCTTCAAGCGTTAGGAGTAAAAAGCGAAGCGACGAGGCGAGATGACAGTCGCGAACAACGACATACCGGTACCGCTGGTAGTCGCCGTAGCGGCCTCCATGCTGCGCCTGAGCTGTCTTGATGAGATGTAGCACTGTCGCAGGAAGGGAGGTCAGCAGGAAGATGCATCATTCAGAATGCGAGAGGATTCTATCATTTCAAGTCTATCAGTGTGATAATAACTTATCCTGAATCTTGAAAGGCGGGCATTCATCTAGAGTGGTTACCGTTGAATGCCAGGGGACGAGGTAAGGGCTTCGAGTCAGCGGAAGCTGGCTCCACTTCCATCGCCGTAGGTTCCGCCATGGTCACCGGAATGCACGGCGGCCTGAAATTGCGCAAATCGCTTCGCTGATACAGGCGGCGTCAAGTAACGTCTAGGGATGTGAACGCGGAGATCCCTGTGTTAGCTGGTCGGGCGTGCTGGAGGAAATGAGTTGGGGGAAAATGAGCAAAATGGAGGGAAAGGGTACAATCTGTGATCAGGCTCATCAATTGTGCGAGGAGAATAAACATCTACCTCGCAAAATGGGATGTTTTCCTAATGCCATTGGAAGATGTTACTGTACGGAAAATCGATTGACATTCTTAGCGAGAATGAGGAACTGGTGCAGATGTGGCAAGCCCTTTCGAAAAGTGCTGCCCGTGCGGCTGACGTGGAGGTGGATGAGGCGCTCCGTGCTCCTCATTCATTCGGCAGGCGGATTTACTTACCGCAGCCTCGTCCCCCTCCTTGGGGCTTTCGGAGCGCAATGCACGCACTCGGTCACCTAGCTGGCAGGCAATCAGGAACACAGGGGAACCAGAGCACGAACCTCTGGGGAGAATCGCACCAATGAAGTGACAGACATCCCTGAAGTGAAGGAAAGCCGAAGTGCTCAGTTGTCAAACAAAGCTGCTTGTGTTTTGCTTTCAGCGACAATTGCGATCACTTTGTCGAGACTTCTCTCGCGTGATACAGTCACAGCAAGCCGTTCACAGCAAGCCGTTCTGGTTAAAGGATTATTTTGAGGAATTACCAGTATCTTGTACAGTCCTTCACAATATGGCTTGCTCTGCGCTATCCAGCCAGGTCGCCGTTTCCGGCCTGGCTGCGCCATGCGCGTCTCCTGTTGAGTCCAAGGATGCCGCGTCATGCCCTTCCGTGTCCTTCAGAAATTCCGCTTTCTGCCAAGGATCGGTCTCCAGAGTCGCCCTCCGCGCCACCAGCGCCAAGGTTTCTGTCCGCGCCGTCTCTGCCTCTGCACGCTGCGTCGTGGTCGCCAACTTGACAGGCGAGAACCCCGACTGGAACGACGACGACTTCGTCACCGTCGGCCTCGCGCACTGCTTCGTGAAGGACGAAAACGCGAAGCTTCAGGACGTGTTTGTCATCGAAGCCATCCCCGCAGGCGCGCTGGAGTGCATGGACAACGGCGGCGTGACTTGCTACACACACGTGACCGGCACGACTCTGGGGGTTGTGCTGAAGCAGGATGCGTCTCTGCTGCCTGCCGAATTCAGCAACGGCGTCTTCGCTGAGGAATTTGACTTCCGAACCAAGTGCGCGTCCAGGACGTGGAAGAGGCAACACCCACAGGAGCACCTGCTGTAAGTTTTTTTTCTTAACTCTCACCGAACGCCTCGAGTCATGTTGCATGACTCTGCAACAGTTCCCAGCCGTTCATGGCAATTAACTGTAAATTTCAAAGCGTAATTTCTCAGAGGTGAGTCGAGTGCTCTTGAAGTTGAGTTTCGTCAGCGTCATTGTAGGGCGTGAACGAATCTCTTAAACAGATGAGTTCACGAATGCGAGGGCAAGCACCTTGTGTCAAGGCCGTGTGGTGGTCACTTCGGTCGAGTAGTACCGTCTCTAGGTCAATTGCGGTCCAAATAAGCGCCATAATCGCTTCTAAGTCCACTGTCCTCTTTCGTAAGAATATTTCACCCTGAATCACCCTACTTGCCTTCCCTCTCGCACACTACCTCCACCTCCCTATCCTCTCATCGTTTGACTATCCAATCTCCAATGACCGGATTCCCTCCCTCCTTCGTAAAGTCCGTATCAACCTCCCTACTTGCACAAAGTAGCTACATCCCTTCGTCAATGACTCCCCAGTATAGTTTATCGTTAAGTTTCCAAACTCAACTATGCCATGTCCTCATTCCAATCCCAATTCTGTGCACTACAGGAACCTGGTGCCGCTGGGCACGGTGAGGTCGGACTTCAACTTCTCGGTGGAGGACAAGCGTGTGCTCAACATGGAGAACGTGGTGGACGACTCGGACAACATCAAGCAGGACCTCAGCATCGACGTCTATGGCCGCGCCAAGGAGGAGAACGAGCAGAAGGAGATCGAGAAGCTTTACAATGTCTAGGCCATTTTTTTCCTAAAAAATGTTTTGCATGACCTTTTGGGTTGTGGCGCCCAAGCATGTAAAGGACATACCTTGGCATGGCACTCATTTCTTGAAAATAAACTCTTACAAATTTCTTAACCAACAGAGATGATGGCAAAAGCTGTTGTAAAACTGGCAGGGTAAGCAAAAAAAAAAAAAAAAGATATATTGAGGCATTTTGCATCAGAACATATCATCCTCTACCACCAATTATTCTTCCTATTAGCCCGCCAATACCCCCCCCACTGGCTTGCTGGGGAGGTGGAGGAGTGGTGGACGAAGCTAGGTTTGCGTATGATACTGTAGAGACGCATGCTCCTTTTACGAGGTTCCAGTTTTGCTGGATGAGGAACTTCTGATTGTTGACGCCCACAAGGTTGTAGAAGGGGCCATCTTGCGAGTCAAACAGCAAGTCTCCAAACCTGCACAGGGCAGAACATGGAGTGGCGGGAGGGAGGAAGGGAGTGAACAAAACATACAGGCACTGCTGAATACTCAACAGGCAAGGAAGGGCTGTGAGAAGCAAGAGGGATGCAAGCGAGCAGGTGTGCTTACTCCCAGGCGCACTTGTCGGCGTTCTCCTCTCCATCGTTGTCGAACCATGCTGACATGAACGGGTCAGAAGTGGCCTCTGCGAGCTCGTGGGCAAACACCGACAGCAGCCCATCCATGCCCACGTCCCCGTTGGGAGAGTGGCCGGGGCCGCTGAAGAGCTGTGACGCAATGCAGCTGGAGCGACACTGTTGTGAGGAGCACGGGGATTAGGGGGGGAGAGCAAGCGAGGATTAGGTGGCTGGAAGATGGGAGAAGAATGAGTTTAGGCTAGGGTGGTGCGCAGAGGAAGGAAGGGCGGAAATAGAGGGGGGTGTGGGATCAGGCAGGTATTGCTGACCTTGGAGCCGGCGTTGCCAACCCAGGAGGACACGAGCAGGCCCTGCCCCGGCACCTTGGTGTACCAGTGCCAGCCGCAGTAGTGCGAGCAGAAGGCAAGCCCATCCGACACCTGTAGAGGTGGAGGGCATGAGGAAGGGGGAGGCATGCGGGTCAAACATGCCATTGCTGTGACTTGCGACCTCCCGTGTGTGGAGAAACAAACATTTGAACGAAGCATCATGTCAGCTGGGGGAGCTGGATGGACTGGAAAGACTGTGAAGCCCCTCTGCTCTCCCTCCGACTCACCTGATCGACGGTCTCGTCTGAAAGCACAAAGTACACCCCATCCTTGTCAAACGGCAGCTGGTTGCTGGTAACCGCGTTACGGATGATCGTATCGACAGCCGAGTCCAGCAGCATGGTCCCTTGGGAATACCCCGTGTCCTCCACCTCGCCCCTTACAGTCACATTCCCTGAAATGTAGTTCATGTCTCGATCGTAGTAAAGCCGATTGATGTTCTACCAGAGAGGGACTGTGGCGTGGCGAGTAAGGCAGTGATAAGGGGGAGGAAGGGGGGAAGAGGGAGCGGAGTGGGATGAGGAGATGGGGAGAATGAGAAGTGCGAAGGAGATTGACTGAGGAGGTAGAGGAACTGGCTATCGGCACATTGAAAGGCCATCAATAGTCGTACACAGCAGCCCCCTCCCATTCGCGACGCCACTGATTTGCCACACCACCCACTCACCAGTGAGAGCAGCATCGGCGGACGGGTTGAGAGACGCGATGAGGGCTCGGACGAGCGCCTTCTGCGCATCGGAGAAGGCGCCGTACCACAGCAGGTAGATAGCGATGGGGCGATGCATCACGCCGCACCGCCGCCCGCACTTCTTCTTGCGCTTCGCGGGCCAGTGCGGCGAAATGCCGATAGGGCGAGGGGCGTTGCCGCCGCGGCGAGGGGGCTTCTTCCCTGCTGCCGTGACTACCTGCGGCTGCTGCAGCCGATTCGGCTGCAGCGTTGGGCGCCGCCCCCCTTCCTGCACCTGTGAGGGCTTATCGCCGCTGCCGCCACCACCTCTGCCGCCACTACCTCTACCGCCTCTGCTGCCGCCACTGCTGCTGCCGCCGCTGCTGCTGCTGTCGCCACTGCCGCTGCCGCCACTGCTGACGCCGCCGCTGCTGCTGCCGCCACTGCTGCTGCCGCCACTGCTGCTGCCGCCACCGCTGCTGCTGCCACTGATGACGCCGCCACTACTGCTGCCGCCTCTGCTGTTGCTGCCGCCACTGCTGCTGCCGCCACTACTGACGCCGTCACTGCTGACGCCGCCGTCGCTGCCGCCGTCAATTCTGCTGCGGCCGCTGCTGCTGCTGCCGCCACTGCTGCTGCTGTCGCCACTGCCGCTGCCGCCACTGCTGACGCCGCCGCTGCTGCTGCCGCCGCCGCCGGAAGCCACCGCATCCACTTCGCGCGCCTCGCGCATCGCAGCGGTCATGCCTCGTCGCAGCCATACCATCTCTTGCCGCTTCCCGTTCGTCCCCCCATCCTCGCCCGCCGCGCCGCCCTTTCCTACCCGCACCGCCATTCGCGCGCTTCCGCTCTCCTTGATCGCATCTGCCGCGTTGTCGAACGTGTCATCATCCGCCGTGTCATCTTGCGAGACATCTGGCGACGGCCGCCGTACGGTTGGCCGGCCTGCGCTGCGGATCCCGTCGTTATGATTCGTCGACGACAGCAAGCTACGAGAGAAGGTCGGGTGGTAGGTCCGCCGGGAACGCGTCGCGCGATGATTGTAGCCTTCCGAACTAGTGATGGCGACGACGAAGGTACTAGTAATTAACAGTAGTAGCAAATTGCTCACTATAAGGGTTTGTGGGCTGGCGGCGGGCCGAAAACGGCCTCTGGGAGGGACAATGCGGCCGAGGGTGTCCCTCCAGCACGTTCTCCGGCATTCTCGGGACATCGCGACGCTGAGGGCGGCGAATTCAACGAGCAGCGTTTTTGTCGCTCGTGAACGCCATAGTCTGGCGGGCTTGGGTGGTCGTAGTCAGGCGGTGGTACGGCTCTCTCGCCATAGACTTCACCTTTCGCAGACTCGATACTCAGCAAGGTCAGTAGACTGCGCCAGGCGCAGTACCGCTGCCATAGGACGTGCGAACAGTCAGCAGTGGCTACTGGTGGTTTCTTGTCATACGCGATACAGACGTTCATGTGAATTCCTGTGTGTATGGTCAATCAATGGTCATCCTTGGCTGGCCCCATGTTGTGGCGACAATAATATCGCGACGAGCTTGTGGTAACCTATGTTTAGTCAAGAACGATTTCGGCCGTGAGTTGGTGTCGAGTGGAGTGGGGGCAATTCACTGTGGCTCTGCTTGTAACCAGCTGGCAGTTCATCACTGGCGGATGAGTCGATAGGTATGGACATGCCATCACTCAGTACACAGGATGCCCGGTAGATACCCACAACTTTTCTCGTCATTTGGGTGGTTATTGAGCAACAAGCATTTCGCCTAACTCGCAAACATTCGCACGGGCGAAATCGGGACAGTAGTGGGCAGGTGTAACAAGCGTCTCAAAATATCTCACGAACGGACGGATGCCAGCGTGATAAGGTGGATGTTCAACGGCTGCGATCAAAATATGGGCTTGTAACGTGCGTGCAACTGGCTAGTACCAACTGTAATTGGGCAGGCTGTCGGAATGAGGCAGACCAAATTTGCGTGCACCAGCTGAGAATCCTGTGTAGCTGCACAAACCTCAAATTCTAACGCAGACGCAGATTGGGTTCGGAAAAACTGTACGTACAGCGCAGCTCAGATTATTTGGGTTCGGATCAGGGACCCAACATCGTTCGCTCTTGTTGACCAGCCACACCCCAGAGATTGGGCTGTTTCTTTTCACCATGCCTGTCAGCTGGGCTCGGAATAGAATCAAGGGGGTACCCAGACCTGCTACAGAGTGCGTGAGGTGGCTGATACGTTTTCGCGTCGCGATATGCCATCTCTCCTATCTGACCACAAGAGATTGAGCAGGTGGTGGGGTGTGGGGGAGGTGGGTTACACCCGATGGTCGTTAGTCGCACGCAACATTTGCCTCTCCAAGGGGTATGAAGGGACACAGGCCCTGCTTGCCTTCGCCACGGAAAAAAGAATGAGAATCAAGTGGGCAAGTGAATAAACGATTGTAATAGTTTGAAAATATATCATGACGGGACGGATGACATAAGCTTTATGTTCAGAAGCTGCAATCAACAAGTGGGATTTTACCGAGCGTGGAAATGTTCGGCCCTAAACGTAAGTGGGCAGGCTTTCGGTAAGGAGTGAGCAGAATTGCGGACAGGGGTTGAGTATCATGTGTAATGTAATTGGGGGGTGTTGAGGCTGTTGTGGGGATTGGACAGGCGAAATCAATGCCGGAACAACAAGGCCATTTGGGTGGTGTGGTGGCTCTACTGGTTACAGCTGGATGACACAATCCGAAATTGGATTTCGCGAATTTTTCGCCAAGTTCGCGGCCCTCTCATGGAGTCTTTGCTCGCGGCGACTTCCGCTGCACCACCACACATCCACTTCGCGAGATTCCAGCGGACCAACGAGATGCACGTGCGATGATGATTCCTATGAGGTGATAGCATGGAGGAGAGAAGGAAAGGAACTCCGCTAGTAGTGTCCAACATCTAGTGTGAACATTGCCAACGTCTGGACATTAAGCGGACTGTCCGTCAAAATCGTAAAATGCAAAATGGTTACGCGCCCTTAGTGTACATAAGTAGGCCATCCTTGGATTGTTATCTGTTGGTTGTGCTTCCAGAAATTTCTGGATGCAAAAACTAGTTGTGTTACATGTATGTATGCTTTGCCATTGTAACATATGCAAGAGAGGTTGTACACGGTATATTTATGTAAAATTTGAGCTGCCGAACTTTCCAATACGGTGCAGAGGGCTGAGCGTCGGAATCCAAAGACTGTTGGATTACAAAGCCAATGAAGCCCGCAATTTGGCGGCCAAAGGTGAGCATGAAAGGAAAGGAAAGCTGCACACAGGCAGCTACTAGCTGGTCACGAGGATGAAAGCATCTCCTCTTCATTTTCACCTTACCACACACAGCAGAGTCCCACGATCAGAACACCGTGATCAGGTGTGCGGCAACAGAACCAGGAATGACTGGACCAAGACCTGCCGCATTCATACGATAGTGTGCATACCGTGGTCTCGATGCACCCCCTTCAGTTCCATGGTTTTATCTCAAAGAATTACGTGCCAATAAGCTCGTCTGCTGGTTTGATTGCGTGCACTCAATCGGAATCTCGTTTAGATCTGGTGAATGCGTCAACACTTCCTGCCTGGAAAGCGAGGAGAGCCTGAGGAGCTCCCGTGGCGCTCCTCAGACATCGCTGACATCGCTAGTACTGCCACCGCACCTGTTAAGTGCCCTCATTGTTGTAAGCTATGGACTTCAAGTTGCCACGCTTGCATGCGAATCGCGCCATGATCCAAACAGTTCAACCGCGGAGAGCCAACCTGCAGTCTGTGCTTGCGGTCATAATCCTTACATTTTTCCTCAGAGGCGCGTCCGAAGCCAAGGATGGTAGTACTGCTAGTAGTCATGTTGATCACTTGATTCCTCGTACTCTAGTCCAGCCTCCTAGTAGTTCAGTTCGTTCATCCCGTGTGTTGAGACAGCACCTGTGGTCCAATCAAGGATCAGTGCAGCTTCGCGCGCGCCCGCCAGCTCCGCCTGCGAATCCCAACCCTTTACTACCGAGGCGCCGGCCATCCGCGCGGCCTCCGCCTACTCCGCCCTTCCGACAGCCATCATGGGCGCGGGAAGTTGTGGAATATCCAAATGCGGGGGCTCGCCGACCCGGAATCGCGCCGATCACTACGTGGTGCGTCCTTGTTCTGACGCGGTGCCGGTCTGAGCTAGCCTCCCGAGTGCACCAATGATACTTCTAGTGAGAACGCCGTCGACCGCAATCCTTTGTTATGCTTGAAAAGAAGTACCTTTTCGGAGGCTTCTGTAACCGTCTCTACAGCCCTGCCATACGCGCACGCCCACCTCAGGGGTCAAGGCGGCGCGGCGACGACGGGCCGCCGCGCGACGATCCTGGGTAGCGCAGAGCCCATCGGGATTTACCCGCGTTGGGGGGCTGGGTGTTGGAACAAGTGCGGCGTGCTGAATCGGCCGATACGCGTGTTCGTGATGTGGTACGGCGTGTTCTCCGACGCTCAGAAGCAGACGGTTCGTTCCTTCGTCGCTTCGCTCAGCCCCAATGCTGACGCCGCCGTCACTGGTGGGTAGCCCATCGAGGATTCGCAGAGAAGCTGCGTGTTTCCAAATCGTCGCCGTAGAATGCGGAAACCCTTGTAGACCCCCTCTGGGAAACCACGAGCCCTTGCAATATTTTCGCCCAAGCTCTTCAAGCGTACGTCTGTGTGCTACACTAAATGTGTATTTTTATCTGAAGATGTTCGTCCTACGGTGTACCTACCTTCCATCTTCCCCCTGTCTCCGCCATTCGCTACACGTTGACATCAATCCTCCTAAACTCTCATACAGCGTAAGTTATCATAAAAAATAGCAACATTTTTTGGGGGGGGGGAATAGTTCGTGTAACACGTGTCAGCTCATTAACTCCAAGGTGTTATCTCTTTCTGAAATTTTGATTGCTGTATATCCTATTCATTTTATTCACTTGTTTCAGTTCCACTGTGGTGGAACATCAACCGGCTCTACTACGACCAGAACGGCAACCACATATCACAATCCGTGACGTGGGGCGGCGAGCTGGAGGACAGGGCGTACAGCAAAGGCAAAAATCTTCTTTCAAGCCAAGTGGAGAGCCTACTTGGTTCGGCCATTAGCAGCCAACGACTGCCCCACGACCCCGGTGCCGTCTACTTCCTCCTCTCGGACGAGCTTGTCACTCAGGTGTGCTGTGATGGCAATCTAGCAGATGCACCATGCGGTGTGATGTTGAGCAAAGGACATGACACGGATGTCTTTCTTGCAAGTCATGTGCGGTTGGACTGTCTGTATCGCTTGTGATAATATCCTCATTTGCCACGTTTATCTCGCTTCTGCAGAAATGGGGCAATCAGAGCACGTCTCAGAAGTTCTGCACGGACTTCTGTGGGTGGCACTACTACGCGTGGGCCGACATGTACGGCGACTACATCTACTCTTGGGTCGGCAAGGCAAACCTGCTCGTAAGTCGTGAGCGGGAGCCTATCAAGCACCACTCTTCAGCCACAGCAACTTATCTTGCTTCACGGACAGACATCCACTAAACCCTCACCTGCTCACCGCTGTTATCGCCTGTGCAGTGCCCCTCGTCCTGCATTCCCAGCGACATCCGCAACAATACCTCTCTGGCCCCCACGGGAGATCCAGGCATGGATGGCCTCGTGTCTGTCTTCGCCCACGAGCTTGCTGAGGCCACATCCAGCCCCTTCATCTCCACGTGGTTCGATGGGGATGGCTATGAGAACGCCGACAAGTGCTCCTGGAAGTGAGCAACCTTTGCCACTCTGTCACCCCAACCAAGCACCAATGGCAATCCGATCTACACCACATTTCCAATAATGGTGCTGTTCCTCTCCTCCTGCACTCTTTTCAATCCACCTGACAGGTTTGCGCCCCTTATCCCTAACGCCTCCGGCATCAAGTACAACCTGGTGGGGGTCAACAGCTCCAGATTCCTCATCCAGCAAAACTGGGACCTCGTTGCTGGCTCGTGTGCGCTGACCATCCCATATGCACCATCTCCACCACCACCTAGACCCCCTTCACCTCCTGCACCTCCTAGTCCTCCGCCTCCGCCCTCGCCACCCCCTTCTCCTCCACCTTCACCTCCTCCGCCATCTCCTCCCCCTTCCCCTCCACCCTTCCCACCCCCACCATCTCCTCCTCCTTCACCCCCTCCTCCACCTCGCCCCCCGCCCCCTCCCCCAAAACGAGCACCTCCGCCAAAGAAACCGACAAAGAATGGTATTGGTGATTTAATCAACAAAATATTCAGGCCAGGAGGGTAGCATCGTTTATGTATATGATCGTTCGTTCTCCTTTTCGATGTACAATCTATTAGTTCATGTATAAAATCATGGAAGTTCTGTAACAAGTACATGTACAAACAGTGCGACACAACATTCAAGCAGAGCAAGCAACCAGCTCGTCCATGCCACCTTTGTTGACCTCGTCATCGTAAACGACGCTGCGCGAAAACATGTGCGACTTCGTGACAAATGAAACCTGCACTTGTGGAACTCTGATGTGATGCTCGTCTTGGCATTTGCGAAGTGGTGTGGAACAGTCGCGTTGACTAACGAAAGCTCATCGCCTTGTCTGCTTGCTGCTGAAAGGGGCAATTGGTCGCCCACGCCCATCGCGAATCCTGCGAAGCTTTTGTTCACCGACGAAGTTCCGTACGAACACAGCACGGGTTACACGTCCGCCCCAATGGCAGCATTTTGGCGGCGCGAGTGACAAACAGAAAAAGGCACCCCACAGGAAGGAGCCACCCAGAGAAGCATGCATACAGCGTGGGAAAAGGTTTGACTTTCCTCTCCTCACCACCAACCAGACCTGATGTGATGAGATGACATTTTCCGCAGGGTTGCTTGAAGTGGTGAAAGCAAAGACCACGCAGAAACGTGATTGACCGTACTGAACCGCGCTATACAGATCTAAAAAGATAAGGTACGAGCCTCCCCCCATGCCCCCCGTGTCCCACGACAGAACATCGCTCAGGCATCGGAGTAGGCCAGGCCGTGGTGTCGCCGCATCACTCCTTATGTAGGACATACATCGCTTTCCTTCTTTGGTGTGTCTGGCCTGGACTCAATGCACATTGTAGTCTCTCCATGGCCCTCATTTTCCAGAGTCACGTGCCGATAAACTCGTCTGCTAGATTGCACTAATCACTGCTCTCTGCTGAAGTTACGGATATACACATTCTCGTGTATTCATCTGCGAGGCGAGCCTCGAGAACTCACAGACATTTCTCAGCAGTGTGGCCACTGCTAGTAGCAATGGGGTCAAACTTCAAGTCGCAACGCCGTCATGCGAATCGCGTCGTTATAGTCAAAGTACCACCAAACGACGGAGAGCCAGCCCGCAGTGTGTGTTCGCGCTTTCAACACTACGAGTACTCCTCAGCGGAGTCTCAGCAGTCGAGGCTGGTGCCCATCGTATTACCAACTTAATTCCTCGCACGATTTTCCAGCCTCCTAGCACAATTCGTTCGTCTGGATTGTTGCAACAGCACCTGTGGTCCATCAAAGGATCAGCATCGCCGGTGGGAGCGGCTAGTGGCCGCGGGGAACATTATGATCCAAACGCCGGGGCTCGCCGGCCCGGAATCACGCGGATTGTAACACGGTGCGTCCTTGTTCTGACTGCGCGGGCCTGAGGTAAGAACGGAATGCTAGAAGGTTCCGAGTCTAGCAGCAAAAGTCACGTTCTGAACGGAATGCTAGAAGGTTCCGTCTACTGAATTCCCTTGCGAAAAACGAATACACTCTGTTGCATTGGCTTCTGTAAACGTCTCTCCAGCCCTGCTGCACGCGTTCACCCACCTCAGGGAAGGTAAAGACAGCGCAGCGACGACGGGCCGCCGCGCGAAGATCATGGGTAGCGCACAGCCCATCGGGATCTCCCCGCATTGGGGGCCGGCGTGGTGCGAGGGGGGGTGCGGCGTGCTGCATCGGCCTATCCGCGTGTTCGTGATGTGGTACGGCGTGCTCTCCGACGCTCAGCCTAGTATATCTCAACGGAACGTAGCAGGCGTGCTAACGACAAAGACGAAACCACAAACCGACAAACTGCCCGGGGCAAAAAAAATAAACCCCAGATGGATGGCATGCCATTCGGGAGCCTCAACCCTGAAATTTTAGGGTTTAGGCTCCCGAATGGAGCATGCCATCCCGATAGGGTTTTAGTTTTTTCTGCCCGGGTCAGGGTGACGCTCCCGAAAGCGTCACCCCCGAGCGTCACCCCGGGCAAAACGGAGCGCCACCCCCGATTCCGTTGAGAGATACAGAAGCAGACGGTTCGCTCCTTCGTCGCTTCGCTCAGCCCCAACGCTGACGCCGCCGTCACGTGATGTGGGTAGCTCCGAGAGGATTCGCAGAGAAACCACGAGCCTAGGAAAATGCTGGCCAGAAACCCTCATGCATGCGTGTGTGTGCTAAACGTGATACAATTCTATCAGTGGTGTATCAATCTTCCACCGCAGCTACACCCAGAATCTTATCCAAACCTTCCATAAAAGTGTAAGTTCTCATTAATAGTGGCAACACATCCTTTTTAAGGGGGAGACTTGTGCGGCATATGTCTCGAAACTGATTTGTGGCGTATCCTGTTCATGCTAATCTGTTTGTTTCAGTTCCATTGTGGTGGAACGTCAACCGGCTCTACTACTGTTAGAATCTAGCAGCACGAATGAATGCACTATGGAAGAGTTGGGTACAAGTATGAAACCCTAAACGGGGCTGTACCCTATATTGGCTACCCCACTACAGCCTACACACATATAACATGCATATACTTTAACACACCCCCTAAGGCAAAGTGGGGGAGAACAAGCGGTCACAAGACCAGTCAAGAGAAGCAAAGCAAGCTCAGGGTGGATCACACCGTCACCACACACAGAGCACAAGCAAAGGGCTACGAGGCCAGTTCACATGCAGAGGTAAATATGCAACAACGGCAGCACTGTGATCTCTACCTAGCAGAGCAAGCATGCAGGTATATATATAGATCATAGTACAGGCAAAGTCTACAGCAAGTGAGAAAACGTGGGCACAAGGCCTAACAAAGTACAAAAACGCTGATGATCACCAGACGGAAGTGCCTTGGTGAATATATCAGCAGTGTAGGCCCGAGTGGCCACGTGAGCAAGACGAAGCTGACCACGCTGCTGCAACTCTCGAGCAAGGAAGTAACGAAGAGCGATGTGCTTCGTTCTGTGCTCCACTCTGTGCTCCTGACACAAGGCAATGGCGGCCTTGTTGTCGACGTACAGCACTAGAGGAGAACGAGGCCGCTCTCCCAAGTCGGTCAGCAGGTAGGTGAGCCAACGTAGCTCCTGTGCAGCCATGGCTGTGGCGTAGATCTCAGCCTCACAACTGGAGCCGAGAACTGAAGACGAGCGTGTAGACCGCCAAGAAACTGAACCAGAACCAAGGCTGAAGGTGTAACCCTCTGACGACCGCTGCGTAGCTAGGTCGTCAACCCAAGAAGCGTCCGAGTGCCCAGTGAGGACAACTGGGCTCCGCCCTCCAAGCACGAGCC